CTCTTTAGGGCCATTACAAAATTAAGATCTTTTATAAACGCTGTAAGCAGCATGTTTTTCAAGGCAAAAATGTAATTTGCCTTAATTGGTAATAATCCAACAACTCTTTTAGGCTCAACTAACTGCTCCGCTTGTAGCGATATCTGCGTTTTTGGAAGAAACTCCTCGAGCCTGTGTTTATGCTCAGTGAGTTCCCATGCAATCGATATATTGATTGCATTGATGCCCAGAATATTTTATAGGATGGTCTAACTATGCAAGAAGGCAAATGTACAGTAACCAAATTCACAGAAAATCTTTTACTATATGCGCGACAGCCTCCAATGTGGATTCATGGTGTTCAACTACCTACTGCCACAATTGAGAAAAGCGGGGATATTACAGTAAGCAAATTTTCATAGCGGGGCCTGGTTTTGCCGTATAAGAAACAGGCGAAATGAAATTACCGTTTTTCAGACATCTTCCTCCATCCCTTCAATATTTTCGATTAAAGATAGTGCAGTGTTTACCGTAGATCCAGTCAAAGAGGAAATTTACTACTATGATGATGCACAGCATGCTATATATAAGAGATCTATACATGGCGGGAATAGCACTTTGATAACTAAAAAAGGTAATCAATTATTGATTTGGCTCTAACAAAAAGGAAGGAATGATTTGAGGAGTTCATCACATCACTTGTATGGCTTATGATTCGTCTTCCGGCAATTTGTACTACGGTACAAGACCGAACGGTGGGTCAACTTGTTTATGTGATACTCATAGGTATTAATTGTTTTACACTGTTTGTTTGTTCTAGTGGAGCCGGCAGGTATTACCGTATTCCGCCCAAATGCTCCTGATCTAAGAGCACAGCTTGTAAAAGCCGTTGGAGGAGTACATTACATTTTTGTAGATTCGACTTCAAGGTAAGGACGAGTATAGATTGAATTAGACGTAGGCGAGCGACAGTAAGCGAGTATAAACTGTTTCAAAAACATTAATTTTGAGTTAACCGAGCTTGTAAGCACTTTTTTAATGTTATTTAAATATAATTAGTTCAAGCGACAGTAACGATTTTGAGCAACAATCAAGAAAGCGCAAGAGCAAAAATGAAATAAAATCTTAGTTTCATCTTCAGATACCTCTTCTACTCGAGTACAACCCAACTTCGACAGCACAACATAGTGAGAGCAAGGCTTGGAGGAAGTTTTCTTGATCCTACGGTAATTTGTAAGGAACTCTTCATCGGACATCTGTCACAAACTGTTGTTTGTTCCAGATTCTCGTTAGCTTCTTCTCCTTCAACCCACTGGTTATGACAGTTGACGTGGCTATGCGCAAGATTTATTGGCTAGATCCATTCCAATACTCTTTGTATAGAGTCGATTTTGCTGGAGGCGATAAAGAGGTAGTTGTTAACTATTGACTGACAACAGCATAGTTTTTGGCGGGATTTTGAACGATTATTTTGCAGAAAATCCCAATTTCCGTACGCTCTTTACACTCCATTGCTGCCTTTTCTGGTCAAATCATCTGGGCTGATGTGAGTTTATCTGTAAAAGTGTGACTTTGCGTCAAATGTAAATTGACAAAATTTCACAGGATTCTGGTGTAAAACGTGCAATTTCCAAGGGCGAAGATGATTTTGATATAGAATCTATTGATTCACTGCCAATTACAGCTCAATTGTATATTTTGGGAGATAAATCCACCTGTAAGTATGCAGTTGTTTGTCCATTTTATACTTTGTAGAGATTGACATAATCATATTTAGCCGTTTCGAAGTGTCTCGAAAACAATGGCGGTTGCGAACAGTTGTGCTATCCAGAAACTTGCACGA